CCAGATTACATTCACGTTCAAGGAAACTCAGGGCAGAGACCAAGAGAGCAAGACCTCAGGAAAGGTCCAAGATGAGTGTGAAAACAGAAGAGATTGACAGAGTAGAAGTGATAACGTCAGCTCAGGAATCTGCATCAGCATTGTGGGAAGGATTGCTGCCCAAGCTGGTCAGCCTAAGACTGTGAATTCATGGTCCATTCCTGCTTCTGCTGAGGCCTTTCTGACAACGGCTTCTGGCCTAAGGTGGTGTGTGATCCATGGGGAGCCTCTCCCCGCAGACAGAGAGGGTCGGGTCCACCTACAGTTTCATGCAAGTCAGGCCTGGGTGTCTGCCACTCCCAGGAGGATGATCTCCCTTTTCCTGTTATCAGCCTGCATTGTCCCATCTCCAGGCCTAGAGGATAATATGGTATACCCTGACTGTGCTAAGGGAAATAAGAAGATAATGAAAAGATTAATGATAGGGAAGAGGAAGAAGCGATTACTTCAAACACAAAGTAGGAGACCAGAATATGCCACCTCAAAGTATTAGAGAGTGACGGATATACTTTCAGAACATGTAAGCTGATTTAAGGAAATGGAAGAAGAGATCATTGGAAGGAACCTTTGTGATCTGCAAAACAGAATCAAGTAATTAGAATTCCACTGTGAAGATGGTTGACTGGGTGCCAGCCCTGTCTAAGAAGACCCTTTAGGGGGCTTGGAAAGCCACTAAAATAAAGCCATTAAAGTCAGAAAAAAAAAAAAAAAAAAAGAACATCACCTACAGAGAAAAGACAAATACATGGACAAGTGACTTCTCACCAGTGCACAATGGAAGCCAGAAAGTGAAATAATGTTTTCAAAGCACTGGAGAAAATAATCATCGGTCCAGAATTATATACACAGAGAAAAACATTTCAAAATGACGATGAGAGAAAGACACTTTCAGACAAACAGAGATGGAAGTGGTGATTACCAACAGATGCTTATAAAAGGATGCATTTGAGGAAGGAGGACAATTACCCCAATAGAAAGGTATAGGATACAAGAGGGA